GTTCCATCGTTTGCACAATTTCGTGGATTCTCGAATTCGAAGCTTGGAACCATCAGCGTTTATCGCGTAACTCGAGCCGTCGAGGGACATTTCAAAATTCGCTTCTAATTTCTAACATCGGAGAAATTGGGCAAATTTCGACGATAACGTTCGCTCGTAACGCGATTTGATTTGATTTGATTTGATTTGATTTACCTCGCGTCATTCTCGAATTTATTGTTATTCGCGTCATTCCTCTTCGAACGAATCTTTTTATAGCGCGACCACGTGTCCCCCTCCCTTCCAAAATAATTTTTCCACTTGGAAAATGAAAGACGACGAGGCACGTGCATTTTTCCGTGCAAGTTTTTCAAAGAGTGACGTACGTACGGGGAATATAAATGACCGGAAATGTAATATAAAATTGCAGAAATGTGGTACGATCCATGGAACGTCTCTACGCCGTGCCATCGGAACAGCTGCGTGTTTGGTTGGTCTGGCTGTCGAAAGTAGGAGACATGGCTGACGAATGGCACAAATGGTTACGTTCTCACATCGACTTTGTTCTAAGACTGTCGTTAGAGCTGCGGGCGGCCGAGGAAGTTTTAATATTGGAGGTAAGGTTTTCGCCCTTCGTGCGACCAATTGCCATATTTTTAATCGCCAATTTTCATTTCGAGGATAATGAAAAATGATGGTTACGTTTACGCGAGGAACTTTTTTTTTGCCCCGGTAATTAATTAATAAATTAATTAATTGATTCATTAATTAACTCGCAGCGAGTGTTGCACGCCACGAAATCGTGTTATCGCGAAAATATATTTGATACGAGCTTAAATTTTGATGTGAATGAATTAACGTTGGATATTCTAACGTGGTAAAAGGATTTCTTGGTAAAGTTAAATTAATACAAATGCGAAAAGTTTCCTTTTGGGAGATTATTCGTGTTCTTGAAATTATCTCTGAGAATTCTCCGGGGAGCGAATAAGCGTTAAATCTCCGGAGAAGAATTCGCGAGAGGTGTCGTCGTCGTCGTCGATTTCACGAATTCGATCCAAGATCCTACCAAGAGTCTATCAGATATCGCTTTTCAATAGTTTCGTGGTGGTGTTGCAGGCAACGTTACTCGATTCCATGATCGAAGTTGCAACACTCCTCCTAGTCGGACCATCGTCGCACAAGCGTCGTCGTTAACAAAAGCCTTGTAACACTGTACGCGTTTCTACGCTCGTATAAATGCATACCGAAGTAGAATTCCAAACAATGACGCTTCTGCGAGAAATCTGAAATTTCAGCGTAAATTAGTCAAGAGTCGTTACCTGTCCTCCTTCCTATTCGAACAAGGGGATGGACAAATATTTCTTGCGAAGAGCGCGAAACTTCCTCTATCTCGATCGAAAATTCATCGATTCGATTCGAACTTTGCAACGAATGCATTTTTCCCCCTTCTTTTCCAAAATGTTTCCTCGATATTTCGTCAAAATTTCAACTTTTATCGCGGATAGAGGCCGACTCCCTTTGAAAAATCTGCTTTGAAACTGGTCCAAATTTAACCGGAAATTAATTTCGTCGTCAAACTTGTTTTCGTCGCGTTTCCAGCGACCGTTGTCGAAGATTTACTCACGGACGAACTGCTATTCCTTTAACCTTGAGCTTTAACCGAGTCTCTTCTCGAACAAGACTCAGGTGTCGGCCACGATTTTTCACTTTCGTTTCCCGAGATTTATACACGAGCACGCTCGAACGGGTTGGGGAATGCGTTTAAATCTTTCTCGTCTAGTCTTCCCGTGTAGTCGAGTCCTCGCGAGTGATTTAGCAAAGGAAAAATGGAGGAGGAGGAGGAGGCAGAAGCGTCTCGAGAAACGTTACTCACGCACGTGTTGCTCGTTTGAACCGCGGGGGCGGTTGACCTTGGGGACCAAAGTTAGTCGAAACGGTCGATCAATCGTTCGGTAATATATTTAGTCGGGAGTGCAATGGGCCACCTTCGTGGCCTCTAACGGTTGAACGGGGGAAAAAGGCGACAGGGTCACGGCGAACCGTAAATTAAAATCAGGTCGTGGCAGGGATAGGGCGAATCTAGAGGCCGAATCGATCGATTGTATATCGAATCGTTTGGTTAGCTATTAACGGGAACCGCGACCGATTAGGAGATCCACCCTCTAATCCAAAGTGCATATTTGCCGCGTAATTCTAAACTGTCTGCCGATCGATTTATGCAGTTCGACCAACGACCGTTGCCTCACGTTCCTCTCGTTCCTCTCGCAAACCGACGCGGGTAGATAAGCCCGCCGGTTTAATTTTCCATTTTAATATGCATTAATCGGTCGAACGTTTTGTTTGCTCCAGTCAAACTTTCAACGGATTCGTCCCCCTCCCCGAATCTTTCTTTCTCTTTTTTCTTTTTCTTGTCTTCTTACCCGGGAGGGGTTATAAATTACATCGGTTTCTGAGGCAGGGACCAATATAATTCTGTCATCCGTGTTTGCAGTTTCGAAGCAAGCTTTAGAAAATAGTTTTTCGAATACGGGATAATGTCGAAGAAGGATCGCAGATGTTCGAGGTTGATAGGTTGATAAGAATTATTCGAACAAGCGAAAAGCGTTCGATACGATCGCGATATAACAGAGTATCGCGGAGTGAGAGTTTCTCTCTCTCTATATATATATTCTCGATATTTGGCAAAGGAATCGATATCGAATCGTTTATGCGAGAAAATTTTTTCGTTCATTCCTCTCAAAATGTTCTCTCCTTCACGATTTTTTCTTTTCTAACAGAAAAAGGAGGAAGAACCGGAGGAAATAAAAAAGGAAGAGGAAGTCAAAGTGGAAACCAAAGTCGAAACCAAAGTCGAGACCAAAGAGATCGAGACGAACACGAAGGATGACATACAGGAGGAGACGAAGGAGGAGACGAAGGAGGAGACTAAGGAGGAGATAAAGGAGGAGATAAAGGAGGAGATAAAGGAGGAGATAAAGGAGGAGACGAAGGAGGACGAAAAGGTGGAGGAAATAAACAACCAAGAAGCGGAGAATCCAAACGATGGTAAAAAAGATTTATATAATTTATATAATTTATATAATTTGTATAATTTGTATAATTTAATCCAAGATTTCTCGCGTTTCTTCTATTCGACGCAATACAAAACGGTGAGGGTATGTGATAGCCAATGAAGGATCGGGCAATTTAACTATGAAAGGTGTATTTCATCGATTGGCTTATCGCGAAATAAATCCAAAAGCTCGGCGATGCTATTTTTTAACGAACATTTTAAACAGATTTCACGAGAAAAAGATATCCCGACAGGATTATAGTCCAGAATTACGTCGCTTATCTTGGAATTCCATGTATTTGAACAAGCAATTACACGCTTAAATTTCCACACTAAGTCGTATTAAATACGTGGAAAAAGAAACGAAAAGAGAGTTTCCTTTCTGTTTCGTCCCCCTTTCTTGCCTCCGTTGAAACAAAGAGCCGCTTGACACTTTTTTCATCTCGATAAAAAAAAAAAGGAAACGACCCTCGAAGAGCTTGTGCCCATCATTTTTAACTGTTTTAAAACGAAGCGTTTATCAACGCGCGATTAGAACCGAGAGGATTTATTTCCCCCATTGATTTGGGGAACCCCAATGGTTTGTTGCAGACGATGAGATGCCAGAGGAGGAGAAAGAGAAAGATGAGACAGAAGTACCGGCAGAAGAATTGGAGGAAAAACCGAAAGTCGAGTTGATAATGGAGGAGGAGGAGGAAAAAGAAGAAGAAAAAAGAAGAGAAGAAGAAGAACGAGTGACGGAAGATGTGGAGGAACCGGTAGTGACCGAAGTAGAAGAGAAAAAAGAAGACGAAGTGGTGGAAGAAGTAGAAGAAGGGAAGCCGTCGATAGTGATAACGGAAGAGGTAGAAGAGGAACAAATTATAATAAAGGAATGGCCTGTGGGCATTCCGTGGGAACATTTAGGGATAGAGGAAGAGAAGGAGAAGCCATTTGACGAGGTAACAACTTTCGCCACTGTTGTTTAAAGATATCAGCCGCCAAGCTTTTATCGCGACTCACTCCTCGCAATCACTCCAATCTTAGCGAGCACAAGTCTCGCTAAACTTTGCCTTCTTTGCTCTTCGTTGCCCTCAACTTGCAAAACTTTCGTTTACACGCTGTAAACCGTTGTAAAAAAAAAAAAAAAAAAAAAAAAAAAAAAAAAAAAAAAAGAGAAAAGAAAAAGAAAAGCGAGAGTTTCTTTGCAGCGATTGCCCATACCCAAGAACGAGGCGGAGATGAAGGATTTCTTGAGGAAGTTCACGCACGAGGCGACCATCCATCGATCCTCCTTTAAGCATTGGAAGGATACCGCGGATCAGGTAACGAATAAATTGTCTTTTCTTTTCTTTCTTTTCTTTTCTTTTTGCTCGCTTGATTAAAGTCGAGAATCGTTTCGCTTCAGGCTGTCAAGGAAATTGGAAACAGACTGGTCATGGCTACGTTCCTGGTGCAAGGGAAAGATCCGTCTGGAGAGGTAAAGAAACCGGTCCCTAAAAAAGTACCCATCAAACCCAAAAAAAGTAAGAAACCTTTTTTCATATTAATCGGAGAAACCGGTGTAGTATCCGCACACTGGATACGATGGAAAGTGTTTGAATATAATCGAAACAATATCGTCGACAGTAAAATCAGTCCAAAAGAAGGCGAAGAAAAAGAAAGTTGTGTCGCCTGTGAGGAAAACGAACGGGGAACCGGAGGAAACGGAAGACTCAAAAATGGAATTGGTACGATATATGTATATATGTTAATTAATTTGCAATTTCTTTTTTCCATCGTCGAATTTTTCGTTCAATTTTATCGAATGATTATGGACCGTTTTTGATTTCATCGTGGAAAAAAGAAAAAAAACATTTTACTTCTCATCGAGGGAAAAAAAAAAAAAAAGGAAAAAAGTCGATCGATCAGTTTCAGATCGAACCAGTCGACCAGATGGTTTTCTTTAGAAATGTAAAAACCTAGACGAATGGATCGTTTGCCACTGAAAGGATCCGTTTTTATCTCCATGTATTATTGTATTTGCTCGTTGCTCCCTTTAGCTCCGAGAATTCTCGTTTCGGTTAGCCGTTTCATGTCCCCTTCTCGTTTCTAATTTTGTTCCACGTTTGTTCCACGACTGGGGGACGTGTGCTTCTTGATTTTTAGTTTCTTGTCATGCTTTTTAACCTCCATTAAAACCGACGTGACGAGGGAGAGAAGAGGGGGAACGAAGACGGAACAGCGATGGTGGTTTTTGCGCGCAAGTAGAAAGAACCGGCAATGGTCGGACGGGCGGACGCGGTAGTCGCGCTCTATAAATTGTGGACAAATTTTTTTTTTTTTTTTTTTTT